AACAATGAACAAATTAGAAACCAATAAATACCTTATTTGTGGTTCTAATGATTCTATATATCATAGATTTCTAGATGTCTGGATATAAATGAAATATTTCTATCATCTAAATACATTCATCAAGCACGGTATGTGAGATCAAATGTTTACAAGAAACTTAATACATAAGTAGCACCGATATTATTTTAATTTGTAGATTTTTTATTATAAATAATGTAAAATTAAACTTTTGATTTGCTTTAATATAAAAAACCATGCAGCTACCAAATTTAAGTTAATGTAACAACTAATAATATACTAATAAATAATAATAATAATAATAATAATAATAATAATAATTTATTCGGAACTACACTTTTGAAACAGTGGCACACTTCACATGATATTGGTGCGTCCAAAATTAATACAGTACTTCAAATAGAATACAGTTTACTAAAGAAAACAAAGTACAAATTTAGTAAACGTCACTCAAGCATTTGACAAGCACCCCCCCCCACCATCCAACACCCACCCTCATCAAAGTATTATATGAAATTATACTAAAAGTAGATCATTAGCACTGTAGTTCAACTTCAATGTCACTCAACCTCACAAATTACCTGAAAAAAAATATATTCAAATAAATATATTGTTCGTTTTTGTTTTGTTTTATTTATTTTTTACTAAGAGCGAGTCAATGATTTTATATATAGGTTTTGTTTTTTTAAAAATTTAACACTATATTTATCCAAACACCACGCAGCAGTACTTCATTCTTATCGATGGTTTCATAAATGTACAGTAGTAGTTAATCCATTGTATGTGGTAGTAATTCACCATTCCAGGTGGAGAGAAGCCATATAGATAGTCTCTTTGGCTAAGACCATGAGCTGGCCAACATAGTTTAAACTGTCAACATTTGTTAGGATTATTTTAATTGATGACCAGTAAAATGCTATTATGGATACTGCATATTTGCAGAAATAATATTTAACATAAAGTATAGTATCAATGGTGAAATCTTTATATACATTGCTTTAGTCTACCCAGCTGTTTTCATAGGTACCAGCAAGTTTCTGGAGTAACCTGTGGTGGACCAGCGTTTCGCCCAGGGAAAGTATTTCTAATCCACTTCACACTACAAAAACTGGGGATAGGCTCCAGCTCTATGAACCATAGTGGGTGTGCAAGGATTTAATTATAGTATCAATGCATTCTAAAATCATCACAAGATTTGCACACACACAAAAAAAACATACTGGGAAAAAATAAATCTTTATAAAATTATACACACCTCCATTAGCCGAAGCTGTACCAATCTTCTTTTATATTTTGGCAAACTCCTTATCATTAAGGATATCATCTTTGTAAAACATGATATTTCATCATCTTTAGATGATTCTTTCTAATAAAAAGAAAGCAAACATGAAATGCAACAAAAACAAAGTTACAATAACTCAAAAAATATTAGGATTAGTAGTGATGTAAAAGAAAATAAAATATCTGGCGGTTTAATTGATGGGAAGTCAACAAAATGAAAAACTTGTATATATAAGTAATACATTTTTAAATAAAATGATACAAATTTACATTAGAAACTTTCTTACCTCTACCGTTCTAATATTGTTACGTTCACAAAATTCAAAATTCACACCACTTTTAGCCGGAAATATGGCTGCGGGCGTTGTATCCATAATACTATCACCGTCAATAGCATAACCTTCTTCCTTTAATGTAAATAGAAAACTGTCAATTGACCCACTGATTGCCTCATTTCTCATGTATAAAAATTTATTATATATAATTAATCATTTGTGTTTATTTTATGTTTTACACTGGGTAAACTGACCTTATAATATAAATCCTGTTCAGTAGATCAATAATTAACTTTCAATATGTTTACTTGGTCAATATTAAATCAGTATATCAGTAATAAATAACACCAGTAACACATTTATATAAGTTTTCCAATATAGTTGGTGGTCAGAAAGCTGCACGGAGGCAACCACGCACAGAAAATAGAAAATACCAATTGCCATTTAAACAGGTCACCAATAGTAAATAAAATGTATTTGACCAATAATTGGCTGACCTCCAATTGTGTGAATATCATACAAAACATAATTCTAGAATGTTGTAATATGAAAGGGGAAAAGCACCATTTCTAGGTGTCCTTTCTGTAATTTTATACCTTTACATTACACCAACATGCAAAAATAAAAAATATTGATATACAAATATAATAATGCTCCATCAGTACTTGAGCAAAGATATCCATCCTTATACATCCAGCAATATTTTGTTTGCTGTTGGCTGTCTTGTGTATCTGCAAAATAGATATATAATAAAACAAGTAAGATCACACATTAAAAACATACTATTTTTAGTAACTTATTTTTTAATAAACAACAATGAAATGTTTTTATGCAATTTCTAAAATAGTCTTTTATATTATTAGTGAATTCTAATATCTAAAATTTTAAAATATAAGTATAAAAACAATTTTAATTATTGCTTTTGCTCTTCAGGTACACACATAAGCCCTGGAAGATTTGACCTCCTGCTCAGTCTGGTAAAAGACCAACTGCAAAGGAAAACAACCAGTTTTCGAAAACATATCAGTCCAGAAGAAAGGCTAGTATAACACTAAAATACCTTCCGACAGGAGATCTACAATGTTGATAATATAGGTGGCACACCACTGAAGAATATAATCAAAACTAGAACGTTGCCCCTTCCTTAATGTCATGCTCGGTGTGTATGATAATTTAATTAATGCTCCACTATTCTGTCTATCGTTCGCACACGCCACAACTATGAGAGAAACGTGTCCAGGGTACTAATGCAAGATTTTGCATAGATTTTCTCTTTCAAATCCATCTTAAAAGCAGTTGCTGGTTGGCCCAAACCAAAGTTAGGCCCGGACTGACTCTGTCACCGACAACGAACAGTATTCAACTGAATAACATTACTCGTCTTACAGACGGGTACAAACCAGAATCCAATTTTCTCATAGATAGCAAAGCCGAGGACAGAAGAATTTGGGGAATCCGACGAGAAAAGTCCATAGGGATTCTTCTTGCAAGTGAGAATAGCGTAGCAAATTAGTGTTTCACGCTGCATTTCGCACCGACATCAGCAGTGGCGTATCTAGCAGTATTAAAATGGGGAGGGGGGAGGAGCTGGTGGTGCAGGGGCGCGACAAAATTATGAGGGGGCGTGGAATTTATTTTCGGTGGCCACGCCCACTGAAAAATATTGCTCCTTAGATTCCCGAATACACGTTAACCGTGACAGCATAAGCACTGTCTCTTATACACATCTAACACCCACCCTCATCAAAGTATTATATGAAATTATACTAAAAGTAGATCATTAGCACTGTAGTTCAACTTCAATGTCACTCAACCTCACAAATTACCTGAAAAAAAAATATTCAAATAAATATATTGTCAATTGTATTGTTTGAAAAAAGTCACCGTCATTTTTCACTTTTCGATTGATACTATGCTGACCGTCCACCGCGTAGAGGCTGCATTACCTCTTTTTAGCGACTTCGTTGGCTTTAAATTGCCATTTCGGCTGTTTGCCAATCAAATATCTTGTTCCCACCGTAAAATAATAGCTGAATATTCATAGATTCTTCTCATATAAAAATAAACATTATAAAATTCACCGTCGAAACACTCATTTCAATATGAATGAACAATCCTGTGTAGGCATTATGCCTGCTAAAATGCAAAGCTTTAATTGGTATAGGCTTTCCGCCATTGTTAATGAATCTGCGTTGTACTGTTGTTGTATCTTTTGCCTTAAATTGGCCAATTTCCTTTAGGTATTTCATATTTCCCTTCTATATACTCGTAAAGTATTATGTTGTCAACATTTACTGAGGGTTATTGTTTGATTTAATGTAAATTTAAAGGCACACAATATAATAATAATAATAATAATAATAATAATAATAATAATAATAATAATCAATATTATTATTATTATTATTGTTATTGTTATTATTATTATATAAGCGCAACGCAATAATTTACACATATAATTTACACATATAAAGCAAAAAAATAAAAAAAAATATTAAAAAATTATATTCCAATACTATTTTTTAAACCAAGAAATGGTCAATACATCCTAGCCCAACATGCAATGACTAGTCTGGTATGCAAGACGTGTACATTTACGGGATAATGGTGTGTTAGATAATGTCGAAACTCCTATTCATGGTCAGAGCGCAGGTAAAGCTCAGCTTGGCCAAAAATCAAGCTGAATCGATTTTAGCACCAATCTAGGCATAGTGCATCCAAAAGGGTCGACATCTGTGACAAATAATTTCCAAGATATGAAAATGCCTGCAATATTATAGGTCAGAGGTAAATATTTCCATTCATTTGTTTGTATGACTGTTGGTTAAATCTTAAATGTTCATTCCGATATGGCACCATTTTAAATTATGCAAATTAGGGGACATTGTTCGGTATTCGGTACAGACGGCGAGTTAGCATGTGCTTGGTTGACGCAGTTTTCACTGAATGTAATAAAAACTAGAACGTAGCCCTTCCTTAATGTAAACGGGCAGCACTGTGTCTGCCCCGTCGACCGTTATGGTGCCGTCTGCGAGCACCCCAACGCCAGACTCTCGGAAGCGATGTTAGCGTTCGCGGACGCCTGGTTGTGAAACGATCGGAATGGGTCTGAAGCTAGCCCTGCTGGAAACGGCGTTTCGGTGGCTGCCGATAAGACCGTACTTTTGGATTTCCATCGTGACAGCGGTAGCCTGCTATCTTCTCAGCCACCTCATAGTCGCTGCCAAGGTCGTAATCGCCGAAATATGGAAGACGCTGTACGAAATCACGAAGTTCGTGGAACCTCTCGTCATCAATCACGGTAGGAAGAAGAATCTGCGCAAGACCATGTACAAGTTTCAATCCCTGTGGCATACGGTCGACGGTTGCGAGGGATTCGAAACTTGGTATCAGGTCGTAGGTTACGGCTTTCACCGACTCATCGGAAACGTGTTCTGCGACCGTCTCCGATGGTATCACTCGATCATGTTCACGGGGTACGTCGTCTACTATCCGATCAAGTATCTGGTCTGGCAACCGATTCACGGCGACTGCGCACCGACGTACGAGGACGACGTCTATGTTCGACTTCGTCAGAAAGCACCTCATCCTGGTGATCGTCGTCCTGCTGGCCGCTCATCTCGTACAGACTATCGGTCTTTCGGCGAGCCTTGAAGTCCGTTCACCGGGAGATGGTGTACCAGCTGCACAGGTTTGATCCGGGAAACAGATCCGTCACCCACAGGCGGTTAGCAAGGAGATTAAGGCATTTCTTTCACGCAGACTGAACGTCGTCTCTTCGTGATCGTCTTCTTCGAAGGCGGCCGACATGCTCTCGTCCTTTTTGTCGATGAACGCCTTCTCGGCCGCCGTACGGTTTGCGGAGTGCATCCTTGTTCCCGCGCAAACAGCGGCGAACACGATAACCATCACGATGATCGCCACGCTGCATCCGATAATCTCCAGCGTACACGAACGGTTCTCTACATCCGCGGATTTCTCCGTTCTCACTACACCCCACAGGTCCCAAATTCAACATCGGAGTGAATTTGCGATCGATCTTCGTGTCTTCGCTTCCGATCGTCTCCAGCAGGGTTGAATCGGAGACGGCGATCGACCCCGAAGTTCTTTCCAGCACCATGAATCCTCCTACTACCCGTTCGACGGTCACCCGATTCAGATGGATAGTGCCTTCGGAAAGAAGGGGAGACGCCCGAACCACGACATTCGGGAGCCTCGACGTGAGTCTCGTTCGAGCCGTTTGTGTAACTCAAACGTTTCAAAGTCACGTTTAACGCCCTGCCAACTCCGGTCACGTCTTCGTCGTCCATCTCCGGTCACGTCTTTGTCGTCCAACTCCGGTCACGTCTTCGTCGATCAAACAAAGTCACGTTGAACGCCCTGCCAACTCCGGTCACGCGCACCGACGAAGAGAGATCGCTTCTCGCAAGACGACAGATCTTCCGCCGACGCGCCGTTTGGCACGACCACAAATGTGTCCCTCATTTTCGAACCGAACTTCAAATCTCCGAGACTTCCCGACAGCTTCCGGCACCGGCCCGGCGAAGCCGATATCAACATCAGCGCGAGAAATATTGTGGTCGTAATAAGCATGGTTGCGGTCTTCGTCGTCCATCGACCAAACGCTAATCTTCACAGTGTATAAGTGTGTTTTCGAGGACACCAGTTAACCGACCATGGACTTCTTCGCCCAAGATAAGTTGCGTTTGGCGCTGACGATAGGTCTGGCGGTCGCCGTCTTGATCGCGAGCTTGTTCCTGCTGAGCTGCTGCCTTAAAAGGCGCATGGACAATTCCGGAAGCTACCGACCGGTCGTGAAGGAGGGTCGAAGCTCGTACTACACCAACAGACTGTCCAAAAATCACGCTCGGACTACGCTTGTTTGAAAGTCGATTAAAGAAAAATAAGAAAAAAAAAACCAAAAAAAAACTGTCACCTGCCTTGATCTTTCTATGTTCGCCTGTCACTCGCTCATTCAACGTCAGGTTCGCAAACTTTCACACACTAACAAAGTGTTTATGTATTTTTCCCCATCATTTATTTTTTTTTGTATAAATTAGGAATACATGGTTTCGAAGCCGCACGGATGCCGTTGGACGATCACCCTCCTGTTTCTGACTATCGGTTCCTGGTCGGATAGAGGTGTCTCGTCGTCTTCCAGATGCAGGACGAGCATCGACTAGTTTCTGTTCATGCCTCTTCGTCCCATGATCTTTCTCTTGGTGTCTCCGCAGGAACCCACATAAACGACGTCGTACCAGTCCTTTTCCGATTTGAACCTGTATTGAAGTCTGCGATCTACTTTGGACGACATCTTTTCGGTATGTTTCCCGATCTTGAATCGCGGTGTACTAATATGCTAAAATAGTTCGCACACGTCATCGAACGTTCATGACGTCAAGAGTACCAAAACTCGTTCCGCCAATAGCGTGCGAGATGTTATTGATGACGAAGCCTCGAACACCCCCGTCGCTCAAAAAACACATGACGTCACGTCAGTGAAGTCGAGGGTACGCCAGCGGTCCTTTGGACGGATGACGTAGCGTTTTCAAGTTCTTTATCACAGCGAACCTTCGAAGGGTGGCACAACGTCCAAAGAATTCGCCATGGAGAAGGACACAAGACGAAGATTAGCGTATCCAAGAAAAGCTGCAGCCGCCAAAATAAAGACGATCAGTTTAGATACTTCTTGGTTCGTCTCAGGTCACGAAGAGAACAGAAAGGTAACACTTCGCGACAGGTTGAGCGAGACTGGTTGGGATGGGTGGAGGGTGATCGAACGGGACGAGACCGACGAACCTGAAGACAACGACGACGATGTCCTGCCCACGTTGACAAACGGCGAGTCGGATATAAGGCTTTCGGAATTCGTCGCGACCGAGCAATCTCGCCGAGCAAACTCGCCGAGCGCTGCGATCGGTAGTCCGCCCGAAACAGTGGATACTGATGGATGCCGACACTCTCGTCTGTTACCACGAGAAGGAAGGAAGCATATTTCTCACGGCCCACCGACTCCCCGCGTACGTGTACCAAGAACTGTGCTGCACGAATTCCTATCGCATCCGATTCGCGTTTGCCACATTCCGGTAAGGTACGGGGATCGAGAGACGACGTTCGACGTTCGGGACGTCAGCGCCTTGTTCTACAAGGTGCTGCTCACCAACCACCCGGAATACGCACATCCCGAGTCATACCGAAGAGCGCTGACGGCGAGCGTAAGGAAACCCCGCTGGAGGACCTCGGAACGACACATGATACTGGTGCTGCCCCTGCCGCGCCCTGCGCCGGGCGTGTGGTTTCGCGAGTTCGCCATGAGATCCGTTGACTTCACTACGGAAGCGAGAGATAGGCTGCTTCCTTTGCAACCCGGCAAATCGGGTGCGTTTTTTTTTTCGGATTCCAGAAGTGCATGAACGCCGTGTACAGGTTCACGCGATGTCCCGTCGTCAGAAACGATCTGGCAGACGGCGTGGTCGATTTTCACTTCCAGGCTCCCCTTCCTTAGGGAAAAAGGTAGGATTCCTATCTTCAGTATGAACGTCATTGTTCACCGACGCTGCTGGCCACCTATGATGAAGGAATCGACGTTATGTTCACTGATCTCGTCCTGCTTCGCGACATCCCTCGTGGTTGACGTTCTTCTTCAGGCGAACGTACATCCGATCGTCGATTGGTACGCGATATTCCTGCCCGCCTTCCTGTACGCGACGTTCGTCAAAGTCGGAGCGCCATCCAGTCTGGTGTCGGCTTGCTGGCTGAGTCTCTGCGCGTCCGCCAACATTTCGTTTTTCACCAACCTGAAATTCCTGATCGACCTCGTCAGAAACGTGCTCGTCTACAAACTCGGACCGTGCGCCTTCGACGGTCGGGACGTGATGGAATCCGATACGTCATTGGGCGACTACTACGAAAACCTTCAGGACCTCAGCGCCAACAGCTTCGACGCCGCCGACTCTCCGACCAACAAGGTCGGACAACACTGGGCAATCGTTCTCACCGCCTCGCAAGCCGTCAGGTTCTGCGTCGTGGTCGTTCTGCAGAGTTTCCTGCTTTCGCGGAAAGGAGTCACGTTGTTTCGATCCGGCGACAAACGAGACGAGAAGGACGACCGATTGAGAGAGGTTTGACTCGCCGTCGAAAGAGTGCCGACCAGTCTGGCGGTTGCAGCGTCGGAGGAATGCAAACCGGATTGCTGTTCGACGTCCATCGAAGAGGAACGAGCGACGAGAAGGGACGAGTTGGTCTTCCACAGCAAGGACCTGGGAAGTGGGCGAACAAAGTTGTTCGTTCTTCGCTGTGGCGATCCCCTGTTTGAATTTGAACAAATGTTGAATAATATAACTCTAAAAACTTGAATTTTTGCAAGGAGATGGCAGTAACGAGACGGCTGTGGCATATATTATAAAAGATTTTCAACGAATAAGATATAGTGTTCAGTCAAATGCATCCAGTGCAGACGTCGATAAAACTAGTAAAACTAGATAAAATAGCCCATAGAATGAGCAAGTGGGACGAGATTTCCGAAGGTTTCTTCGTGATGCGTGGTTTTCTGGCGAAGGGATTTCATCGATTCACGATAGGCAACGCCGGAGAGCACGTTCGTTTTTACTGTGTCATCGGGGACAAAGGAAATATATTTCACCTAAGTCCGATATTTGAACAACAGAAGAACATCTTCCATTCGGACGGAACTGAGTCCGTCGTTATTCGCTTAGATTCCTCGTCGATTTCAAGCAAGAGTCGTACCATTTCGTCTTAGATTTTGACATTAAGTACGATGTATGTTATTCGGTTCACAGGAACTTTCATTATTATTGATTATGTGGATTGAGTGTTGATTAGACGAAATAAAAAAAAAGAAAAACAAACATATTATGTGTCAATCATCGTTTATTTCAACTGTTGATGACCCCCGTGATCTTCCAACCGTTGATTGATCGCAATTTTGGCGAAATTGTGAATAGCGATGACGATGACGAAGACGATGACGATGATGACAGTGATATCGAAAACGAAGAGTCTACAGACTACGAATACAGTGATGAGGATGACTATTAACAGCCGTCGTTCAACTTTCTCAGAAGGTACACGGAAGAGAATGTTCTCCGAGAATCGCGAGGAGATAGCCTGTACCGAGATGGAAGCTGTGGCATATATTATAGTGTTCAGTCGAATTCATCCTTTGCAGGAAAAAGAAAAGTTGCAAAGAAAAGTAGCCAATAAAATGCATATGTGGGACGAGATTTTCGAAGGATTCTTCGTGATGCGTGGTTGTCTGGCGAATGGATTTCATCGATTCACGATAGGCAATGTAATGCTTGATGTGATGATAATATAATTGATGCTCCACTGTTCTACCTGTCGTTTGCGCATGCCACAACTATGAGAGAAAAGTGTCCAGGGTACTCATCAATGCAAGCATAGATTTTCTCTTCCTAATCCGCCGTAAAGGCAGTCGCAGGCTGGCCCAAACCGAAGTTAGGCCCGGACTGACTCTGTCCCCGACAGCGAGCAGTATTCAACTGAATAACATTACTCGTCTTACAGACAGGTACAAACCAGAATCCAATTCTCTCATAGATATCAAAGCCGAGGACAGAAGATTTTGGGACGAGAAAAGTCCATAGGGATTCTTCTTGCAACATTTTCGTTTAGAGCGAGAATAGCCTAGCAAATTAGTGTTTCACGCTGTATTTCGCACCGACATAAGCTGTTTTTGGGTCATTTTCGTCTTTTCACAATCGTATCTCAGCAAATACTTGTCGGATTTTTGTGTTCCCTTCGGTATTTGAAAGGGAATTCCTTTCTGATTGTTTTAGTATTTGTTTTAAATGTATTGCTTAAAAAAAGTCACCGCCATTTTTCACTTTTCGATTGGTACTATACTGACCGCCCACCACGTAGAGGCTGCATTTTTACCTCTTTTTAGCGACTTCGTTGGCTTTAAATTGCCATTTCGGCTGTTTGCCAATCAAATTTCTTGTTGTTCCCACCGTAAAATAATAGCTGAATATACATAAATTCTTCTTATATAAAAATAAACATAAAATTCACCGTCAAAACACTCATTTCAATATAAATAAACAATCCTGTGTAGGCATTATGCCCGCGAAAATGCGAAGCTTTAATTGGTATAGGCTTTCCGCCATTGTTAATGAATCTGCGTTGTACTGTTGTACCTTTTGCCTTAAATTGGCCAATTTCATATAGGTATTTCATATTCCTCTTCTACATACTCAAAATAAAGAAGAAAAATATGAACAAATTATATTCCAATACTATTTTTTAAACCAAGAAATGGTCAATACATCATAGCCCAACATGCAACGCCTAGTCTGGTATGCAGAAGTCTGGTACGTTGAAAAAGCTTTTGTAGTAATCGATTAAAGTTTATTCATAAATTTCCCTAGGCATCTCCCTTTTCTACCTACCATCCTAGCTAACATATTTTAGCCTACTAGACCACAATAGTACTTGCCTACCTTTTTCTATCCCAACGTGGCATGCAGGTCCGCAGCAGACGAAAACCGGTGAAAAAGTGAGCTCCGATCGCTCTGCAGCTGCTTAAATACTCCACCTCCACTGTGACATCGCAAATTTCTCACTTCCTGATTTCCCCTGATTGGCTAATCAAAATCACGCCACACCGTTAATGCTTTCTAATTGGTTAATTAGTATCTAATGTATTACGAAAGCTCTGAATTGTTCCAGATGAGTCAAACCACTTCTTGCCGCATTGCACCATTCACTATAGCCAATCACAGGCTCGTGTCACAATGCGTCATTTATCTAGCCAATCACAGGCTTAATCAACACGATGAAGTCAATCTTTATTTCTCGTGTCGCAATGCGTCATTTATTAAGCCAATCACAGGCTAAATAATGACGCACTCCAACACGAGAAATAAGAATATGACATTTTTCTATTGTCCCCGCCAATAAGAACATTTGTTTATGGTTCAAAAATTACAATGCCACCGTCCAAACGAAAGAACGAAAGAACGAAAGAAAGAAAGAAACAAAGAAACAAAGAAACAAAGAAACAAACAAAGAAACAAACAAACAAAGAATAAAAGAAAGAAAGAAACAAACAAACAAACAAACAAACAAACAAACAAACAAACAAACAAACAAACAAACAAACAAACAAACAAACAAACAAACAAACAAACAAACAAACAAACAAACAAACAAACAAACATAATAATAATATGCCAAACAAACAAACAAACAAACAAACAAACAAACAAACAAACAAACAAACAAACAAACAAACAAACAAACAAACAAACAAACAAACAAACAAACAAACAAACAAACAAACAAACAAACAAACAGTCAATGGCCCAGCCATTGCCGGTCTGCCATTGTGCGAGACACTGAAGGTAGTAACAATCAATGAAATTAAAACAAACAACAGTCCTATTCACTCAGTGAATGATCTAAAACAACCGTACCCACAGCAGTTCGACAAAATAGGATGCTTCAGAGGCGAAGCAGTTCTACATCTCAAAGAGGACGCAAACCCATTAATAGATGCTTCTCGAAGATGCAGCGTGCACATCAAGCAGAAAATGAAGAAAGAGCTAGATGAAATGGAAAAACAAGGTATCATTCGAAAGATACAACATCACACAGATTGGTACAGTTCCATAACGAGTGTGCTCAAGAAAGACGGATCAACCAGAATATGCATTGACAGTCCCTAAACGACTGAACCAAAACCTGAAGAGATTCCCTCAAAAATTGCCGACACTAGAGGAGCTAAACCCAGCATTCTCGTAGGCTAAATACTTCTCAAAGCTAGACGCCAAAGCAGGTTATTGGTCTGTCCACCTTGCAAAGAAATCACAGGAACTAACCACGTTCCGAACGCTATTTGGAAGATACTGTTTCCAACGGCTGCCATTCGGTCTATCAGTGAGCCAAGATGTGTTTCAACAACATATGGATCGAATAATCAATCAGGTGGATGGCTGTGTCTGCATCGCAGACGACATCGCAGTGATCGGTCGCTCCGAGGAAGAGCATGACAGAAACCTACACAACCTTCAAGAGACAGCCAGGGGTGAAGGGCTAGTCTTCAACAGTAATAAGTGTACATTTAAAACTGATCATATCAAATTCTTTTGATACATTTACTCCAGAGACGGGATATCTCCTGATCCAAGAAAAATCGAAGATGTTCATGCTATGCTTGTTCCATGAGACAAAGACGATCTTCAGAGATGACTTGGACAGAGAAAGCATCGCCACTGAGAGATCTTCTGAAAAAAGACACTCCATTCTTGTGGCACGAAGATCACCAACACGTTCTAGATGAGATAAAGAAGGTAATCACAGCAGAAGCTTGCCTACAGTACTACAATCAAAACAAAGCAACTATCTTAGAAGTAGACGCATCCCAGAAGGGCCTTGGAGCCTGTATTTTACAAAACGGCGAAGCAGTCGCATTTGCATAGAAAAGTCTCTCAGCTCACCAGCACAAGCAAACTACTCTAACATAGAACGTGAGACACTAACTCTCTTATTTAGCATCAACAGATTCCATACATATCTGTTTGGAAAAGAATTCTTGGTGGAAACCTATCACAAGCTATTAGAGATGATCTGGAAGAAGCCACTTGCAAGTGCACCTCCACGCCTACAGAGACTATTATCAAAATACAAGGATATGATTGCACTATCAATATAAGCAAGGAAGCTTAATGGTATTATCGGACACCATAAGCAGACTGCCAAACCCAAGCAAAACACAAGATGTACCGATCGAGCTCCAGGTTGACGATATTGAAGACACACTTAATACTGACCTAATGAGCTTTGCAACCAGCAAGCAAGAGGAACTACAAAAAGAGACCTCAAGCGACTAAGTGTTACAGGCACTATGGCAAATTGTAATTGCTGGATGGCCAGAGAAAATAAAGCAAGTTCCGGAAGACATAAGAGTGTTCTGGCCGCGATTTTTTATTCTGTACGAAACATTTGCATGAAACTCCACTCGGGTTGTTTCGACTGACTCGACTCGAAAATCGCAATTCTGGAGGTCAAAAGG